ACAATATCCTTACTTTGTCGGACTTTTCCACACTTCCACACCTCTGAGAAGTGTAGAACTAAGTAAAGAATGACAAAGGGTTCATGACTGGGGGAAAAGTGCCACAATATCCTTACTTTGTCGGACTTTTCCACACTTCCACACCTCTGAGAAGTGTAGAACTAAGTAAAGAATGACAAAGGGTTCATGACTGGGGGAAAGTGAGACAATATCCTTACTTTGTCGGACTTTTCCACACTTCCACACCTCTGAGAAGTGTAGAACTAAGTAAGAAGTGAAGAAACTCTGGATTTCATGGCCAGGGCTGGACATGGCTCGTTAAATAACACCAGGGATGTTATAGATAGAAAATAAATGATAAATAATAACGATATTACTTAGTCGCCATATCAGATTTTGTCTAAAGGGGTTAGCCCAGCCTAAGGTAAAAAAGTTGAAACACAAGTCATGATGTAGTCCATTTTCGTATTTGTTGCGACCGTTGAAAAGAAGTACTGAATACTCATCTATACAGGGTTAGCCTCGACCTAAAGTAAATATATTGACACATTCCAGTCAGAAAAAGACCTGTGTACAACTAACCCTGTATAAATGACACTTCAGTGGCCGCTATGAATTCAAAACTGGTTTATTTCTTGATTGTTTGTTTTGGGGTAAAAAACATTTCTTGATGTTTTAGATAGAAAAGAAGCTTTTTGAGTCAATAAAAATTAATATCAGTTACACATACATCTAGTCGCCATGGTTGATTTTTGCCAAAGGGGTTAGGCCTTGTAGTGTTCAATCTAAGCTGCATTTTTGCGTCATTCATACAGAATATTCTCTTCTGCCACAAAATGAAATAACATCATACTGACGCAAAAAAGAAGTCACTCCAAATTAACAGGCAATAATAAAACTAAACTTCCAAAAATAGGTGAGCTTCTAAGCCCGAAATGACTATCATTTCAGACTTTGTGTGTACAAGTTGTTTTTGGGTTGGGCATTCCACGCAATTCCAGGAGACTGGGGCGTACATTTTGACTTTCTGCATATGTTGGTTTGCTGATAGATTCACGCTTTATTTGTTGCTTATGGTACTTTTGTTTTTGTTTCATTATGAAAGGACAACAAAAACTACGTATTAAGTTCACTTTTTATGCTGTTAAAGAAAATGGCTGTTGAAACAAAAAAGCATGAAGATGGGCTGGAGCAGGATGGTAAAGCTGGAGAAGTCAGTTCGGTGTGACAGTTGTACAAAATTTCAATATCATAGTTTGACTTGACCCAAACCCAATTTAAAATACCATGAGAGACATACATGTACAGTGTATGACCCATTTTGACTAATTTCTACATTGAACACTGCCTTGCCTTGGGTCAAAAATTTGAAAATTCTTGATTGTTTGTTTTTGGTAAAAAAAAAACCTAGAAGAGAGGTTTTGGAATATTCTTGATGAAAAAGAATTTTTAGACAATAAAAAATTTGATTTTACATACACTGTAGTCACCGTATTGGATTAGTTCTAAAGGGGTTACCCAGGCATGCTGCCTTTTAGTCAAAAATCATTGTTTTTCGGTAAAACTGCCTAGAGAAAAAGGGTTTCTTGATGTTCTACAAAGAAAAGAAGACAAAATATTGATTTTACATAGTCACTTGATTGGATTTCTTCCAAAGAGGTTAGCTCATGCTTTTAGTAAAAAATTGAAATTTCTTGATTGTTTGTTTTTAGGTACATGTACAAAAGCCCTAGAGAAAAGGTTTCTTGAATTTCTAGATAGAAAAGAGGCCTTTTTAGAACTTGAAAACGCTTGGGCCTTTACGTAACCAGAGAGTTAATCTGAAGACAGACTCCATAACTCTATATTACAGGATACTGAAATTTGTCCCTCAAAGACCGCAAAGACTAAAAGAAATACGCATCGTTGAACAACAGCCATAATAACTGCCACAGAAGTTGCATGAACAGAATATTTCAACAAATACATATGATCAGATTTATGGATCTTTGTGTCCTACAGGACACATATCATGAACAAGTTTGTGTCTTTAAAATTTTATGCATCAGGGATGCAGGACCTAGAGGTACAGTTGTAACAAAATCACTGCACTGACCATGGCAAGATGGACCTAGAAATGAGTTGAATACCCACCAAGAGCTTTACTTGAAAGACAACGCACATCTCAGACACTTGAAGACTCCACTAACATACACTGTACATCTACCACTGTGCTTAAGCCTGCCAGAAAAATGGAGGATGACTGAATGCCTGAAGACATCCTCGATAGAGAGCCTCCAGTTAGCTGGCAATCTGTTGGCTGTTTGCTGTTTCAGAGGGGGTACCTGTAAAAACAAAGGAAGCTACAGTGCAGGCCAGAACTAAGCGAATTAAAACTGATGCAATGGACGCATCAGCTCGGATGAAGGCACATGTCAGCCCTAACGTGTCAGGAAGCGCTAACGTGTCACTGCGACAGTGCTTTGCGGTGCATTGTTGAAAAAAAAAAAAAAACAAATTCTTGGGTTTGAAGAAGCTCATTCTAAGGAACTTTTCATGACGATCTTCAGCCATGATTAATTGAGCTAAATTTGGTGACATGCAGGGTTTCACTTGTAAAATGCTCAGCACCCTAATTTTTTATGTGTTCATACACCTGTAGAATAAAAGGTGTTCTTTAAAGAGTTGAAAATTAGAGCTCTTATTTTGAAAGCGACAAAATCTGCATGAAATGAAATTATTTAGCAATTACTGAATGAGGCTGAGTAGGATATGAAGAATTATGCAGATTGAGGTGGATAATACCATCTGAGATCTGCATAATTCTTCATATCCTACTAAAACCTAGAAATCCTAGAATTTTATTTTTAAGCACGTGCCTTGCTGATTTGTGGTAANCGGTGCATTGTTGAAAAAAAAAAAAAAACAAATTCTTGGGTTTGAAGAAGCTCATTCTAAGGAACTTTTCATGACGATCTTCAGCCATGATTAATTGAGCTAAATTTGGTGACATGCAGGGTTTCACTTGTAAAATGCTCAGCACCCTAATTTTTTATGTGTTCATACACCTGTAGAATAAAAGGTGTTCTTTAAAGAGTTGAAAATTAGAGCTCTTATTTTGAAAGCGACAAAATCTGCATGAAATGAAATTATTTAGCAATTACTGAATGAGGCTGAGTAGGATATGAAGAATTATGCAGATTGAGGTGGATAATACCATCTGAGATCTGCATAATTCTTCATATCCTACTAAAACCTAGAAATCCTAGAATTTTATTTTTAAGCACGTGCCTTGCTGATTTGTGGTAATGTGGTGGATTGTACCTCAACATCATTAGTTAAAGTTGGACCAGAGTGTCATTGATTCAAATGTGGTCATCACAAGGAAAATTTCATTTAGGAAAGCAAGTGTCGTCGTATGAGGTTCGACTTTTGATGTCCATTGTCATGTTGTGAAATATGACATCACTGTTTCCTCAATTCATGATCGAAATACAATGCAGATGTGCATTGGGTATGTAAAAATTTGAGTTTCAATAGTAAGTGAAAGTTGCATTTGGCATTTTGCAAGTAAATTTTTTGGGATTTGCCAGTTTGAAGCTTGATGACCATTCACTGACATATAACACCTCTAAACAAAGAGGTAGCTCACATACTACTGAGTCTTAATGTGCACTGTTGCATTTCAGGGAAGACATGTGTTCTCGTCAACTTTTGACTCATCAGCAATTGACTTGTATTTCTGAACACGTATTACGCATATATTTTGGTGCGCTTACAATCCTCCTAAAATAAGTGTTTCAAAGTTTTTGTCAAGGATCTTAGCCTAAAAGTAAACACCACCATCCAGCCTGTGTTTACCAGCCAGAAAATTGAACAAGAACTGAATGTGAAAGAAGAAAAGCCACTGATCGTAAATGAACAGTGTGTAGTTTATAACTTCCAATTCGACCTGTGTGATGCAGGCTATGTACATGTACGTTACACACACGGACATTAAATTTTACACAATCCTGTAAAAGGACATAAACAACAGTCCTCCGCCATTGCCAAACATTACAAGAACATGCATGGAACGATCCCTCATGACCTGCTGAAACATTTCCAAGTGCTTAAGAAATGCAGGAAAAAATTTGACTGTTTAGTGTACAAAATGCTTTTCATAAGCCAAATTTCACCTTACAATCAGACTCTATTCATGCTAAAGTATTTTCATAATCTTTGCACCCTGTTATGTTAATTTTTGTGCCACATCACTTTAAATGCTGTAATTGTCTAAGATTGTTGCCAATAACAAGGCTGACAAAACTTGGCTTGGAGTCATACGCTCCATGGAAATTAAGACACAGATTGCTTTTGATAATAATAACTTAGCCTCCTTTAGGAAGAAATAATATTAATAATAATTTGATCTACACAGTTAATTTAAGTGCAAGTGACAAACAGGCAGATGGGGGATGGAGGACTAGAAGGCAGGCAGCCTTCTCTTTTTATTTCACTTTCTTCCCTTCTGTAAACGATAACAGTCACCTTTTTCAACGTAAGGTAAAATTTAGTAACTGATAATTAGAATTTATTGTAATGTAATTGTAATTGTTTGTGTGTCGGAAACAAATAAATACATGTAAATATAATAAAAAATTGGATTGGATAATATGCAGAATGTGGTTCAGTTCTTATTAGCCGTTTTTGGGGAGAGCTCATTCTTGTAAATGACCAGCTCTAGTTTATGACCACTTTTTCAAATTTTCGGAGGTGGTCTCTACGAGAGCTTTGACTTTACTAGAAAGTCCACCCTTCCCCAACTCAGGCAAGCAGGTCAATCTACATGCAAGTACAAATTAGAATAGAATAGAATAGAAAACTTTGTTTTTAAGTGTCAGAGCCAATAGGGACATTCCACCTGCACCCCCTCTATGGAAGGCATAATTCTGACAGGCCCTTATCTCTTAAATTGCAATTCCTAAGGTTCCCAAATCCCCCACTAATTCCTAAGGCCTTGTAGTAATCCGAGATTCCTAGAGGCCCTTGTGGGTAAAATGCTAATTCCAAAACCCTTTATTGTGGTTAAAATATTAGATTCCAATAGGATCCTTCTGGATATTATCACATTATGCCTTCCATGGGGTAGGGGGTGGGGGGTGCGGATGAAAAATTTGGGGACAGAAAAAAGCACGGCCATGTTCACCAAGGCTTAGCTTATCGATGTACAGACAAATGCAAAATAACAAAATAATTTATAAAGTCTTGAAAACAGAACACATTTAAGGATAGGTTTAAGCAAAGTTTTGTTGATCGAAAGACATGAGCTTAACAATTGAGCAAGTAACCGCAACTTTGTCAACTATCTCTCGTTCCTTGAAACGAAAAAGTCTCAACTGTACTCCCGTTTTTAAGGGAATTACAAAGAGCTATGGTACATACATTGTTTTGATAGCTAAGACGTTAATATTGAGAGTGTAAATAAGAGAAATTCAGCTTACCAACTGACGATGCCTAGCTCGCTCGTTACCAAAGATGGCCCCGCTTCGTTGGTTAATGGTCGCGATCGATTGCTGTTCGACATTTGGCCAATCAGAAACGAGTTACGCAGGCACGTGATCAAAGAAGCGTAACGCAACGCATGCCACCAAAACTGGCGGGAATTTTTTGCGTTGTTTTGTTGTTGTTGTTGTTTTTTTTCCCAAACAAAAATAAAATTCTCCCCCAAGCGGTTTTTTGGTGTTTCTTTCGTTTGTGTTTTGTTAAGTAAGGGATGCCGCCGCCCAAAAGCTGAACCACAGTCAAACGAGAAAACGATTCGGGTAGGGTAGGTTTCTTTCGCCCCCTCTCGGCCTTCTTTTAAATTTTTTAGCTTAAAATTTGGAAAATATCGTAAAAAGTAAATGCCCGAGTGGCACACGAGGGGAGGCGTATCACGCTCGCCTAAATGGAGGGCTTCCTCGCAGGCTGGAGGGAGTTGCGAGGAGTCACGCGAGAACAGCACGCGAAAGGGGTCGCGCGTTCTCATGCGGCTCGCCTCGCTCGCCATATAAATCAGAGCTTGCTCGCAGACTAGAAATATCCAAGATAGCTTCACTCAATCTTAACCTGTTTTTGGTGACTTTGGAAGCAGGCGAAGGAGGGGTTCCAAAGGGAAGTGCCCATTCAAGGGCATGAAATCACGAAGCGCAAGCCTCACTTATGCGCTAAACTTACACTCCACTTTCCTGCGGGTTAAAGGTGTTATAGAAATATCAACGAACAAACGGAGCAATCGTTTGGAATTTTGTAAGCATTTATTTACCTTGATTACGCCTGCATAAAGATTCTCTATGAACAGACTATTTCCTGACAGCTTTCCTTTAAAATTACCTACAAAAGAAAAACAAACGAGAAACACTACCCAGGGTAAATGAAAGAGAATCACTCGTATATCTACAGCTAACAATTTATATCAAAGACAGAAACAACTGGCAAAGACAGAAACAACTGGCAAAGCTAGATGTAACGTTATAACGGATTTCAACGCTTCAGCTTCAGTTTGCAAATTTAACTTAGTCTACTGGTTTAGTTGGAACAAACCGGCTTCATTAAGTTAATTGGCTGATTTAGCAAGAGAACGGGAACGTCATTTAACGACGGGAGAGCGCGCGGTAAGGACTAAACACGACCTCCGGTGCTCAATTTGCCGCTGTGCTATTGGTCAAGCCAGTTGTTTGATTTTCGCGCCATCGTCTACTGACGTTTCCGTTCTGTTGCTAAATCAGCCTAAATAGGCTGATTTAGCAACAGGACGGGAACATCAGTTGACGACGGGAAACGCATGGAAAGGACTAAACACGACTTCCGGTGCTCAATTTGCCAGACTGACTTTCACTTTTGGGGTACCATATTGGATTTTCCAAAGAGTTTAACCCATGATTTTGAGTCAAAATTGAAAAGTTTCTCTTTGATTGTTTTTTTCTCAAAATAGAAGAAGGAAAGATTTTCATTTCGGGATGCCATATTGGATTTTTCCAAATTGACGTTTGTTTTGAGTCAAAATTGGAAAGTTTTTTTTTATTAATTTTTTGTCAAAATAGAATAAAAAAGATGTTTGACAATGTTTTAGACGGTTTAAAATACCGAAAAGAGCGTTTCTAAAAGACTTTCATATTTGGGGTGCCATATTGGATTTTTTCAAAGGGGTTAACCCATGATTTTGAGTCAAAATTGGAAAGTATCTTTTTGATTTTTTTTTGTCAAAATAGAATAAGAAAAAGATGTTTGACGATGTTTTAAACGGCTAAAAAGATCGAAAAGAGCGTTTATAGAGACTTTTATTTTGGGAGTGCCATATTGGATTTTTCTAAAGGGGTTAACCCATGATTTTGCGTGAAAATAAGAAAGTTTCTTGTTGATTGTTTTTTGTCAAAATAGAATGCGAAAAAATTCTTGACGATGTTTTAATCGACTGAAAAGACCGAAAAGAGAGTGTATAAAGACTTTCATTTAGGGGGTGTCATATTTGATTTTTCC